AAGCTGAAGCCAGTTTTGTCAAGACGTGACATGGAGAAGGTAATACATGCCTTTATTTCAACTCAACTTTATGTTGTAGTGAGCCAAGGATCTATTGCACATCTTCAGCTCGTTCAAAATGCTGCTGCCCGCCTCTTAGCTGGTACCCACAGGCATGAACATGTAACATCTATCCTGTTCTCTCTTCATCGGCTTCCTGTTCATGACAGAATCAATTTCAAAGTGCTAACGCTGATTTATAATGATTTATATTTATGACCAGCTGCTTTTGGTTGCCCAATAATCTAGACCAAAAAGTAGAGGAGAACGAGCCCTTTCAATTATGGCCCCCAAACGTTGGAATACGTTGCCTTTAAATATTCGACACACTCCTTTTTTTGAAAGGTTCAGACTGGTGTGAGTTGATATGTTTATTATGTGTGTTATTATATTTTTATGTGAGCGTCATGGTTTTATCTTGTGTTTAACTCCTTTGTTTCTGTACAAAACTTTGGGCAAACTTTCCATTTTTAAATGTGCTGTATAAATAAATTGGATTTGGATCTTCCCCACTGACCTTTGACCTTCAGCTGTACATGGATCATCTTCAGATCGTCCCCAGCCCTGCGGGTGGTGCAGATGTAGTTACCACTGTCAGAGACTTTGGGGTTTCTCAGAGTGAGGCTGAGGTCTCCAGTCTGCAGAGCGTCGACTCTCATCGATGTTCGACTGAAGCAGCGATGGTTCTGATCTTTAAGATCTACTCCGCTCTGCAGACGTACGTGGACTGTTGGGACCTTCAACTCATCACGGTCCCTCACTGCTGGTGTGGCACTCCTGGAAACATCAGCTGGTACCTGACAGGACAGCAGGACAGACTCCGCCCTCTCAAACACCTCCACCCCTGGGGCATGCTGGGAGTCTGAGGACAGAAACATGAAGCAGGTGTGATCGAGTGCAATGAAATGAAGCTGCAGGACAGAAGAACTCCAGAGGTGAACGAGGAGATGATACTGAAGGATAGATGTGTAGCATCTAAATCACACATGGTTTTAGGTCATTATGGGCGGAGTCTCAGAACTTTACCTGCAGTTTCAGACCCTGCTGCTGGAAACACACGACTCATCATGCAGGACAAATTTCCAGCCTGTGACTAGAGAAGATCCCAACATCCATCCTTTTCTGTTAAAGATGATCAGAGTGCTAAAACTGCTTTTTTCAATATCTGCTAGTCATAAATCATCTTTACTCCTAATCAAAGATATAATTCATATATAAATCTGATCAATACATTAAAGGAGAAATGTAGCTTGAGCAGTGAACATTATTTTGTGTTTTCCTCTGATCAGCTGATCCAAGTACACGGAACAGAGAAGCTTTATTTGCCAGCCTATCAGCTTTAAACGGTGAGTCAGATAAAGGAGAGAAGAAAAAGCGGCGGTTTCATGACTCCGAGGATTGTTAGACACGATGATGGAGCAGCGACCACAGAGCACCTACATCACCTCAGAGTTCCCGTTACCTTCAACTCACCTGTAGAAACGGTCAGAGCAGACAGCAGCAGCACACACACACCTGTAACAGGACAGAGGTCACTAACGGTCACCAAAGGTCAGAGGTCATGATGAGGACAGACAGGTGTAGGAACATCAGCTCACCTGCAGCAGTCAGCAGAAACAGGCCTGAAACTGAAGAACACACTGATCAGAGATCAAATGGTCACATGACCAAAGAGAAGCATTCAGACTGCAGTGATTGATTACAGTTCCCACACATCAATAACCCACAGCGCCCTCCAGTGGTGGAAACACAGATAATACATGTGGAGAAGCATGAAGGAGACTCACAGCAGAGGCAGACGCTCCGCCTCAGACAGCCGTCACCTCCACAGCTCCACAGCTCTGCTCCCCGACCTCCTGCATCACACAGAGCAACATCAGCACAGGAGGAAACAACTCACTGAACATCATTAAACATTAGGAAACATCATCACTTGGAAAGGATCTTCAGTATTTCTGAGCTCAGACAGAAAAGTTTCATGAAATCTTTAATTTGAATCTGCTGCTCTGTGAAGAGATGAAGATGTGACTCCAGAGTCTCCAGCTGAAGCATCATCTATGTGAAACCAGATAAATGTCAACTAAAGCTGACCACGACCATTACAAACACCTTCACCTCCAGAATGAGCGAAGCTTAATGGAGGGTGGAGCTTAGCTGGTAGCTCTGAGCATCATCTCGGTTAGAATCAGGAAGTAGGTCATCAAATGTAAAGTCTGACTGTCACTCTCAGAGAGCCTCGGGTTAAAGGGGTTACCTGGTTAGTCCAGGTGAGACATACCTCTCTGTTTCCTCCACAGAACCACACCTCCAACCAGGACCAGGACTACAGGGAGGACCAGGAGATAAAGAGGAAGGGAGGAGGAAGAGTGTGGAGAGGAAGAGGAGGGAGTAGCGAGAAGAAGAGGAGAGGTTGTACTGGGAGGAGAATCTACAGGAGAGATTATGAAGATTGTTCAGTCAGTTCATTATCAGGTCACCAGGCTGGTTTGTATCTATAAAAAGGAAGTGATGTCATTGTCCTGACCTCTGACCCTCAGAAAGCTCTCTGGAGACTTTCCATCCTCATTAGTAGAACAGGAATAGAAACCTTCATCGGACTTCTGGACTTTAGTGAGGATGTGCTTTGGTTTAGGATTATGTTCAAGTGGACTCCCTTGAATGAAGAAATAAGCTGCAGCTATTTTCCCATTGCTGCACTGCAGAGTGACATCACTTCCTGTCCACACAGGAAGGGCCGGGATCAGCAGAATCACACCTTTAACTGACAAACAGAGACAAACAGAGTTAATGAGAGCAGATGAGCAGCAGATGAAGCAGCTTGTGTACCAGTTACAGTGATGGTGATCTGATCACTCTGTCCAGAACTGGTTTCACACCAGTAAGCTGCAGAGTCTGACTGGGTGAGAGGTGAGAGGATGCAGGAGGAACTATTAAACTGCCCAAAGCTTGAAGCTGCAGCTGCTCCACAGTCCTCAGTGAGTCCTCCTCTGGTCCTCTTCACTGTCCATCCATCAGCTGTCTGTCCATCATCAACACAACTCAGAGACACTGAAGAAGATCCTCTGAAGACCTGCTGAAGGTTTGGAC